TTTTTTTTTGCACTTGCGCTCTGATATTCTTGTGACAATATATATTGTCACACTGTGAATCAGAGCGCTAAGGCGAAAAAAAGCAAAACAAGGAAAGGAAAAGAAGTAAGGAAGGAAAGCCCCACCTGTTCATCACCTCTTACGTACAAGGCCAGCTACGTGGATGACAGGTTGAGAGTCAAGCTATTTTTGACGTTAATGAATTTTTGGGTGCATTGTCGAATCATATTTTATTCTGGATTATTGACCGACTCTCGTGTGACACCTGTCGGGACAGAGACGCGGTGCGCCTTGGCTGTGGAATGCATCATTTATGCCATCGTAGCCATTACCAATCTATTGCGACTGCCGCCGTCTGCACTGAAGGGTGTCCAACATTTCCTCATTGTTCACATCCCTGTCACCCAGATATACGTTGTCCCTTTTGTGCCCAAGGACGCTATCAGAACTGCATGATGCCGCACTGTGATGAACGTCCTGCTGTTCTTTTGACATGTGGACAACGTGTCCTCTGTCAGGACTGTTTTGGGATGGTTCGTGCAAGCCGTCCTGCTGAATGCTGTGCTGGCGCAGCTCTCCTTGGGTATCCTAGTGAACATCCACATCATCCTCACCGTAGCTGTCCTATCTGCCGAGGTGGGGACAATTAAAGAAAAAAAAGAAAAAAAGAAAAAAAGAAAAAAAGAAAAAAAGAAAAAAAGAAAAAACGAGAAAATAAGAAAATAAGAAAAAAGAAAAAATATGTTGATCTATGGGATGTGTTATTCAGCTGGAATGACCGTACGTTATATTCAGGGGAAGACTGTAGGTATCTGCTGTCTCTTTCCGCTACGGGCTATGATCGTTCAAGGTGTGGCTACAAATGACCTGACTAAATCAGGTAACTCCGTTTTAGCACAGGCTACGAAATGACGTTTCTAAATCAATCAAATTCACCCCTTCCTGCAAGTTAGTGATTGGAGTGCGAGTCCTTTCTCCTGTTGTCGTCGAAGTCCGTTCAATGAGTGGCTGAATTAGGTACCTGCTGCCATCACGGGCTATGTATGACCTGACTTAAACCACCAGTACCTCGCTCAGCTATTAAGTCCGAAGCTCGGACTACCGGTAGCCTAATAATTCCCGAGCCTCGGACTTTATGGCCGAGCGTAGGACAACCGGAAGCACATCACAGAAAAAAAAAAAAAAAAAAAAAAAAAAAAAA